AGGTGAGCATAGAACTAAAAACTCTCGAAAATCAACCCCGATTTTCTCAAACTTGAGGAGGGAGGAGTTATTTGGCCGCTTGTGATGAATATGTCAATGCTTATTCAGCAGCTTTAATAGTATAAATACGCACGCTAATCGTAGGATAAATCAGTCTTAAAGTCGCTTTACAGTAGTAATTATTGTGTTACTTGTGTTTTAAATAAAAATGTTTTTTTTTTAAATGCGAGTTTCGCATTTCGAAATAAAATTCAATTATAAATATTTGGTTTGCTTTCAAAGAATGACGTAACACGCCGGGATGACGGACCGATGCTAGCGGCGTGCAGGGAACAAAAAAAAATCGATATCTTTAAAATGCGTATAGTTAATAAAGCTAAGCGAAGATAACGCATCGCTGACACCGCATCAAAAACCCTATTTATTCGATTGTAATATTGTAAAATGTCCTCTTAATTATTCCAGCCTTTGTATCGGCCAGTTCGAATAAAACTTGATTTCGTTTTCTGTGTAAATGAATTTTTTTTAAAACGCTCTCCCCAGTTGTGAACATTTGAGTAGTTTGAACACAAAGTGGAAGGTACTACGTTGTACTTAAAAAAACACGTAATTATCGATTCACTTGCATGCGCCAAATATTCACTTAAGCGTCTGTTTTTTTTTGTAATATATGCTCACGCGATGTCGCGTCGGCACTTTGGAACCGATCATCCCGAAAAAAAACAACAAATTGAAGACCTAAAAATTGTCGTTTATCAAATTGGTCACCGTTCGCACTGGACCGTAATGAGACATTTATTTAATTTAAGGCCAAGGAGTTTTCCTTACTCTTAATTTTTTCTGATTGCGCCGAGATTTCTAGGAATCAGTACGCGCTTTCTTAAAAATATAGACAAAACTACTAACACTCTATATTACCCCATTATATAATTTAATTTAAGTTAATATAATAACGTAATGTAGTGTAATTAATTAATTTAAAATTCTTTCTATGAAATTCACTTCTGGACATGGTACCACCTGTATTTATCTGTTCGTTATTGTTTTAGAGACTTTATTCTGATATATATAATAACAAACCGGGTAAGCGTATAACCTTTTCCCTACAGAGAAAATTTGTTGTATATAAACCACGGTAGGCACGATGCAATTTCTACTGTTTTTAAAGATTGTTTTTATAATTTTGATTTGATTGATTTCTGTCCAATTAGAGGTAATTTATGTTACATATTGAAATACAGTTTTTTTTAACAAATTGACCATTTTCACTTTTCACAATCACATATTTGGAAGGCGAAACTTTCATCTGCAATTAGATACTAGATTTGCGACGAAAAAATGAACTTTTTCCACTTAAATTTTTTTGCCACTTTATTTATATTTTTCATGGAGAAATTCTACAAGTTTATGAAAACAGAGGCTTTGCGAGAAATTTGGTTTTCCTCTAATGACCTTGCGCCATTCAACAACCAACACATCCACTGACAGATCGTTAATTAGTTTTGGCAGTTTTTTCTCAAAATATGGTTAGATCTAGTTAAATGTAGTAGGGCCACTACATTATCTAATAGCAATACATATTATCCCATATCGCAAAAATCCACTCTACAAAAGTTTTCATGTTAGACATTGCCTAAGTAAATAGAATTTGTTTATTAAATACGTACGTAAATATGTTTATAGCTTTAGGAAGATCAACAATAGTCTTCGAAAAAGCCATATAGTTAATTTTTTCTACATTCAGAGAGAGTCTGTAGCAATCTAACCGTTCCTTTACTCTGTGAAGTTCGTTATTATCTGGGCTTTTATACCATCTCAGCTATCACTGCACTGCAAGCGCAAGGCAGTATCATCAGGATATGAAATAACTCTTCCCTTTATGTTTAACAACGTTAGTCCCTTAATGTATAAAATGACAAGTGTCGGTTCCAGTACTATGCCCTTAGTATATAATTTCCGATTCGCTTGTGGTATTTCGAATTCTTGGTTTTTGTACCCACATTCAATAGTTTCATTGATTTCATAAGTCACATAAGACACTAGCTCCCGCATAACGTCACTGGAGTTATGTCCCTCAGTGAATTCAAATTGGTTTTCTAAAAGAAGGAATGATTAAAAACTTAGTAAGTCGTTCATTTAAACATATTTCTAAGATTTTCGCAATGTTGACATATTGACATATTAAATTGTGTGGGGTTTGTTTATGGGGGCGTTATTTTTCCGCTTCGTAACCTTTGCGATATTAATAAAATTGTCGATACAAACTCGTTTTACTTGATGCAGGTTCGATATGGTTTGGCATATTCTATTCTATTCTGAACGATGTCATTTAAAGAGTTCCCTTGCCGAGTGCCATTACTTGCAGACATTCTTTGAGTTAGTTCGAAATTTATTTTTGCTAGTATGTTATTTTCCCTGCATATATTTTAAATCGTTTAAATAAAATAAACAGATACCTAACTACTTTTACTTTGGTTTTGGTAATAAAATGCTATGTCGTTTTCTTATAGCCAACAATTTAAAAAAGAACTACTTTTAAAACCAACAAGAAAACGGTTACCAAAAATTTATGAACAGCTTGGTTAATATGGTCGTTTTATTATTATAAGAGAACGGAAACGCCATTTTTGTAATAAGTGAGTAATAATTTTGTTTTAACGTTTAAAACAAATACGCAATCCATTGAATATAGGAAAAACTAATAATTTATAAACAAATCAATATAAAAATTTTTATAAACGTATGTAAAATGCATATTTTGATTAGTTAAATTGTAGAGAAAAATTGATTGATTTCAAGGCGATTTCTTATGCACTTTAAAATGCATTATTTTTCTGAGTGTACTGTCTGATAGAGGAAAGACGAAAGAATACGATCTCTATTTATTTGTGTTTTTCAAAAATAAAGATTTTTATTTTTTTAAATTCTTACGTTAGTCTGGGAAAGTTGATTTTTTTTTTAAATAAAATGAACTAATGAGGTTGGTTTGTGTGTCGGCCAGTGTACCTTCGTCTACTACGCCCCGTGTCGTACAATCGACAGAGATAGCACCATTTACCGGATAATTACAGTAGTTTTCACTACAACAAGGTCGCATTTTTGAAAAACTACTGCAGAAACTCGGAAGACCGTCTTTGATTGTTATGGTTAATGCACGACATCATTCTACACTTAGTAAAAGTGTAAAGGAAACCATTCGCTGAGCAGTAAGAGGATTTATTACCCAGAAGATGGTCTAATGGTGAATTATTAAAAATTATCAAAAATTACTATTACAAAACCAGTATGCCGTATGCTACAGACGAAATAATTGTTGAAATGGATGAAATGAGTTTTAAGATTGCCTTCTTATCCATTGTCTTGATACTTTATACTGCAGTAGCATCTGTGTGTAAGGCAGCTTTCTGGACAGTTGCTAAAGCAATTTGGATCAGTTGTATAGGCATACAGAAAATATAATAATAGATTAATGGGAAAAAGAGGTACTACTACCACTACTTGTTACTTTCGAAAATCGAATTTTCGAAAGTATCTCCGCTCGTATAACGGTAACGGTAGGTCCTATGGAATCGCCGTTGGTACAAAAATGACCACCGTCGAAAAAAAAAATTTTTGTCTGTCCGTTCTCTGTTCTCGTCTTTTGATTTTTCCTGAATAACTTTCGAACCGTTGGAGCTACAAAATTGAAATTTGCCTCTTTTTTAACCCCCCACGAGGCACATAAGCTTATAAGAAATGGCCCGGATTCGACGCCGGCATCCGTCTTTTTTTCGCGATTTTCGACTGTTTTTTGGACCTTGCTATGAAACACGATGTCATTTAATATTACCACGTATTGCATGGTTTCGGAATACAAGTAGTTTTTTGAAAACCATTTACTCCATTCGAAAAATTCGGATACCAGGAAACTAAGGAGATCCAAGGCTATATCCTCTATTTAGAACATTGTTGGAATTATATACAGGGTACGTCGTTTGTGGGCAAAAAATTGTAATAGATCATGGAAATTTCCGCTTTTGTGGGTGAAATCTTTGCGATAAATGAAAAACTTTTGAAGATGTGATAATTTGGTATGAACAGTATCGTAAACTGTGTCGAGAAAAAGTTTAAGGTTTCATCTATAACACGGGGGGCGCGAGATATTTAAAAAATATAATTTTAAATTGCAATTAATAGTACAAATTTTAATATTTATTGAGGTTTGGCGTAACTTTGAAGTTCGACGAGGTGTAAAGGACACTTCTTTATACAGGGTGCATTCACAATAAAATAACATCGATTTTGCGAAAGTTCCATAGTGGTCCGCAGCAAAACAATGCGTCCCTCTAGGACAAGAATAAGCGAAGCGCCTTCTTTTTAAAATAAAAAGCTGATTGGCGTTACTTGCGACGATGTTGCCCCCCCCTAGCCACGATTTTTCGAAAGCAATCTTGTTATTAGTGTTATAGATATAGATATAGACGTTTTATCGCAAATACAAACTAAATATGGTTTACTTGTATTTGATTTTTTTGGTTTTGTTTCAATTTTTATTGCATGGACAGAGTTTTCTGGCAATAGTTTATTTAACAAATTCTCATATTTTTTTGAGATAGATTAACCTACTCTGTCTATGAGCGTACTAGTAAAATTAATAAATGCGAAGTACAACTGATTCTGTCTCTCTTACTCCCAAGTAATATATTCCTGATCGTTATCGACTTCTGTCTTGAATAGATTTTTAGGGCGCAGTAGGGTCGAAGTATAAGTGGAAGCAAGATGAACAATCTATTTTATTCTGTCTGGCACCATATATATAATTCTGTTTTTAAACACTAAGGCACCTGTCCGTTTACCTGCCATTCTCGGGATCCTTGACAATTATCGCAAGTACAAGTTTTACAGCTCAATAATTAATTCGAAAACGAAAACGGGGGTAAAAAAAAAGTAATAATAGGAAATTTTTTCATAATTACATTTGTTAACAGCGTCAAACTAAATTGTAATAAAAGGGACAATATTCCTCACGTGTATGCGGGGTATTATTAATTCATTTACCGGGGTTACGGCGTTTCTGAAACTTTTATAAGCGTTACGCGTAAAATTTCTGCTCATTTCCTCTTTTTCTGAAACAATGAGACCGTTTTACATCTGCCGGTGCTTGATTAGCGCGTCGATCCTTTTCGACGTCTTCGTCGAGTCCGGTAAGTATTACAACACTTTTAATACTCTTTGCCTAAACTAACCAAAACTAAATGTTTATAGTATATTATTCAACAAGTGTGTTAAGCGGTATCTGAGTTACGAGTTTATTTGGCACGAGCAGAACGCAGCAGAGCGAGCGACTTAAAAAGTATTCCATAGTATGCTTTTTCTACGACCGCTAGTTTTTGGATACATTTTCCAAAACAACACGAATATATTCATTGACATGACCGTCAGAACTGTAGTTTATTTTGAATTTATCGAAAACCTGTCGAGACATTGCGTAAGCAAAATTCTTTTCGTAGGTTTCACAAATTGTGGGGCCTATTACAGACATTTCGTCGAGTTTTAAAACAACAAACATGGCCGCAATTAATAATAATAATAATAATAATAATAATAATAATAATATGATTTTATTATAATATATTAGAAGAACACACATAAAATGTGAAGTTGATGTTACACTTGCCGTATATTCATTATTTGTTAAGCCCGTTCAATATACTACTAACAAGCAATACAAATACATCAATTTATTTATTTAAAAAAAGTATATAACAGAAGAAGAAGATCGAGTGGCAGGCACTCAAGACAACGTTACCAAAATAAGACCAATTCTGTTGTTGAGTTCATAGAGTAGAGAGCATGTACAGGGTGGTCCATTTAAGATAGTCCTGTACCTTATCTCAATAAGTATGACGCTGAGGAAACAAAGGTAAACACAAAAGTGTTTGACCCTACGTATATATTTTATTTATAGTATACAGGGTGTTCCGTTGTGCCAGGACAGTAAACAATTTAATATTTTTAAATGGAATGCTACGAATATTTTTAAAAATCCTAATTATTCGCTTGATTTTTTGTCATTACATAGTATACGAAATTTTGAGTAGTTTGAACATTTGCATTTTTTGCGATAAAACAGGTGTTTGTTTTTTTTTACACTTGAAAACTTATGGATCCATGGAAGTCGCGAATCCCTAATGGTTTGAGCTATTTATGGCGAACATGCATTATACGGGGTGGTCACAAATGACCATCAAAAAGTTTTTTTTCAAAATAAAAAGACTCTAATTTTTTTTTAAATATAACAGCTTGTATTTAGAACTTTTATTGGATTTAATTCTGTATCAATTCATATACAAGATTATTCACGGTGAGTGTCCTATTAGATGTTTATGGAGAATGACTTATTGTAAAAACCCTTAATGTTATTTACTTATGTAAGCGAATATGAGCTACCTAGGTAAAATATTTTTGACTCTGCTCTATTGACAGATATATTCGTAACGTCTATCAACTTTCGTTTTTCAAATGGAATGTCCTGTACATTATTTCATTTTTAGCTCCTGTGAAATATTCTGAAACTTTTTTATGTACTCTGCACAAGAAACAAGCAACTTGATATAAAATAATAATTTTTTTAGCAACCCGTACAGCTAAATACTTGAATTTTTGGTTGCGGTCCTGTACTAAATTGTTTTATCATAACATATTATGGGAATTAACTTATCGCGTACAGAGCGCATAAGATAAGTCCGAATTGGCAAGATATAAAAATCTATGCTTAGTTTGAATTTTATATATTTTATATTGGCACGTAAATGAGTAATTAATTTGCCATCCATTTTCAGTGGTTTTCGAGTTATAAGCAAAAAACTAAAATTTTGCAATTTAAGCGAATTAAAATAATAACATTTCATCTGGATAGCAGGCACTGGCCTGCCATGGTGACGTTTTTTGTAAAAAAAATTGTCTTTGACATAAATAAGCTTAATATTCCGTTACTGGCGTGTTCAAATGAGTAATTGTAACAATGAAACTGCTAACAAAAATTTAATATTCATAGAAACTGTTATACACAAAAATAATGTTAAGGACTAATAAATGTTTTTAAATTGTTTTTAATACCCACAACTAGATATTAGGCTTGAAAGCACTTCCATTTGCTCTAAGACCTCCATGAATTGACTTCATAACATTGGAAACTGTTGATTTTGAACTTCGTTTGGATCAAGTTGTTGAAAAACCTGTCTGACGGGGCGATCCAAATCTTCTATTTTTCCATCTGGAGTTTTATACATTCTTTCTTTCATAGGGCCCCAAAGTTAAGCATCAGCCGTTGTAGTATTTGGTGAACACGGTGGCCAATTCCGTGGACCTGTCTCCTTATCCATCGGTTTTCAAATATGATTATAAGTTGTGCACATACTCTATTTGTGCAATAAGCCGGAGCTCCATCTGTAACTATTGTTTGTAAAATATTCAGATTTTTCCTCATTCAAACTCTCGTTGTGGATACAAAAATCTATTTTATTATCCATCATCAAGCAACGTTGAAACGTTGAAAATGAATGTATGTTGAAATCGATTTTCTCGTTAAAATTTTGGATTTTCTGATGACCAAAAATGATTATTCATCTGTTATAAATACCTCCCGTGAAAATTTTGACTAGTCGGTCCAAAAATCTCGATCTTCACATCACAAGGGAGAAGAGATTGTAATGTAGTTAGCTAAACTAATCAAAACTTAGTTAGAATAAGTTTAGTTGAAGTTGAAACACAAATTTGGCCATAACTTCTAAACTACCAATTTTTGTAATAAAAGCTATATATATGAAATGATACAGAATTAAATAACAAACCCAATAAAAGCGCTTCTTGGTGGTGGTTTGTGACCACCCTGTATGATAATAATAATAATAATAAAACTAACCAAAAATCTCCCAACATCTTCGATTCGTCAAAGACAAAATTCCATTTGAGATGCCAAGAGCTTACAGCATTCCATGCATATGCGGCAAAGAATACATGGGACGAAAAATATTAACTAGGCTCAAAGAACATGAAAGAGCCTTAAGACTAAGACAAATAAGCTCATCAGCAGTTGCCGAACACAAACACGAAACCGGACATAAAATTTTAATCGATAAAACTAAAATTCTTGCATGTAATCAATTGTTCTACCAGCGAAAAATCCGAGAGTCTATGGAAATCTATGAGCAACCTAACAATCTTAACCGGGACTCAGGTCTTTACCTGTCACCAATATGGGAATCAGTCATCCGAGACGGTGTTTATGCCCCTCATTTACCTCCGCTCCCTCAGCAGATACAGAGTAAAATGCGAGTCAGTTTCAGTCAAGCTCTGAAGAAACGTTAGCTAGTTCGATTCAAAAAAACCGAGGCAGGAGGAATCCAGAAGTTTTATAAAAAGTATTGCCGTAGCCTGTGCAAGATTCTTTGAAAAATTAATTGCCACCATTTCATTACCAAAAACACCGTTCTAAAGGTGACTTTCATGTATAACGTATACGTATTTGACGCAGTTTAGTTTAGGTCTTTAGCTACGTCACCGAGGCCTTCTAAACTAGCAGAAACTCTACCGTTTTTAGCCGGCAACTTCCGGAAGTGCAAGATAAACTCTCAAGATGCCGACGCTTGTCTGTCGGTCGCCATCGAGGACGCAGTGAAGGAGATAAAGTCCGGAGTTCCGGAATTCGGCATACCCCAAATCGATCCCCTGAAAGTGGACAGTCTTTCGGTGGACGCGGGCGTCGGCGCCGTCCACTTCGCGCAGCACTACAAAAATCTGGTCGTAACCGGTTTCGGAGAGTTCAAGGTCAACCAATCGCAGTAAGCGCATTTTTTTTGTTCAATGTTTACGTGATTTCCAATATCACTTTCAAATTACAACAGTGTAACACAAACAGAAAAATAAACCAATTGTTTCGAGCTTCCTAGTCGGAGCACCCTATATATTTCGTTATACTACCAAAACTTACCACATTGTTAAATAAACAAATGTTAAACAGGAAATTTTTAATTCACGAAAATTCGAAACACGTTTTATTAATATTATTCCTTTATTCGTATGACGCACGTATTATTTTTCGGCACCTGTTTTGAATGATGGCCAACAAAACAAACCGATAAATCAAGCTTCTCGCGCAGTTTAGACTTGGACAATGGCAACCTGACGTTCTGGACGATCCATCCAAAAATCGAGCAAAGGTCCGACTACGACATTGACGGCAAAATCCTGATGTTGCCCATGAAGGGAAACGGCCCTTGCACTTTGACCCTCAGTAAGACGCTTTCCTTCCTCACTAACACATAAAAACTAGTCTAATTGTTGTTAGAAACTAACCAAAAAAATAAAAATATGTTTTCAACTCTGTCAATGTCTTCTATCTAATCGACATCACGGGCCAAGCTCCAGTCAACTATGCCGATTCATATTGGTTGGTTGGTTGAATAACTTTACCGGTTTGGGCCATGTGCTTACAGCAGATGTTTTAATGGTAGCAGGCTGGTAGGGGTGCAGTGCCCGTGTACTCATTCACATAAAACTAACACGGCTTTGATCGTTCGTCTTATTCAAAGTTATTGGCGTTAGCAAACGATTTGTGTTCGCATGGATATTTAGGTGCTAATTTGTTTACTTAATTTGCGATTTGTGTTCATATTTACAATAAAAAAAAGTAGGTTAGTTTATTAATATCAAATTTTAACAAATCCCCATGGATGATTTGCAACATATTGGCAACATCGAGGAATGGATGGAATATTACGCACATAAATTTTATGAAGAATTGCATTGTTCAGTGATGATTTTTCAATTCTTTTTCCACGATTTCCAATCCTTGGTGGCTCCAGACATACTACTTAAAATATTTGTTCTTGCAATAGATGCCGGCTCTCTCTTTGAGTAAAATCTGTGTCAAATTTTTTAGAAGGTACCTTTGCATGTTTTTTCATTAATTTTGTCATAAGTTTTTTTGTTGTTGAGATTACTAAAATATTTTGACCGGCTGCTTCTGATTCACTTAAACGAAGTTAAGTAATCCGAAATAACGAAATATATATCTGTTGCCGCTAATATTCGAAAACAGTTAATATGGATAACAACTGAGTATATTAGGAATTATGAGTAATTACTGAAACTGCACTAGCACAGGTACTCACTCTGCAATCTATTTAAACAAGAACAACTTTTCTGACTAACTTAACTACCATATATTGCAAAACGATTTATTAATCTGAACAAGAAGAACTTTATCCTTTATTTCTGTTATACTTTTTTCAAGTACCGTTCCTGCTGAATTTAATATAGTTGCACCTACCCAACTACTTTTATAATCTATTTAAAGTTATTACAGTTAAGAGATTGTAATATTCTTCTTTGAACAAAAAATTTGAGTTTGTTCCACCTCTTAGCTTATTAATTTGTTCAATAAATTTGAATTTAACACTATCAGCTGCTACCGAGGTCATTAATATGACAAACACTCCGCCTGATCTATACTTATATACTTAGATATCTCTCTTTCGTAACCGAAACTAACCAAAGCTAACCAACACTAATTAAAAAAAATTGCGAATGTAAATTTTAAATCATTTACATTTACATTTATACGAAATCCTGTCTTGAAATTTGAAATTTTGAAATTTTGTACTAACTAGGAAATATGTACTTCCAGTAAATTTTTTTAGATATTATCAATATTAACGGAATATCCCGAATAGTATGCGTAATAGCTGACGATTTTAGTATTTATGCATAATTCCTAATTTTCTCAGTTATTATGCAAAATCATTGTAATTTCAGTAATTATTCATAATTTCTAAAATACTTAGTTATTATGCATACTAACGGCTTTCGGATATTAACAGACTTAAGGTCTCTGCTTCTCAACTTGGCGTGAAACGTAAAGGTAAAATGTCCAATAAAATCTCGCGGCGTTCACCAGTCAGCATGGCCGCCGACAGTTCGTCAATTTTATCAGAGTATGCCCGGATGTTATTGAATTGTCATGAAAAAAAAAAGAATTAGGTTTGTGGACACTGCCGTTTAGAAAGAAAATATACAACTATTATATCTAAAAGCTACATGCGCAAAATCGAGAAGGCGTTAAATGTTACTCTTGATCTTTTGTGTTATTTTGTTGTTCATTTGATACAGAAGAGTGAAGTGTATATACGTGGTGCTACTATATTAAAGGACAAAGATGATAATTGACAAGAATGACAGGACGCACGTGAACTCGTAATACTTAGAATATTATGCGTATTGTATGTTGGATGCATTGTTCGCATTGTTTTCTTACGTTTCATGTTGATATTGTTTAAAAAAGTAGTTCGTATGGTATGGTTCGTGAATTAGTGCCTTTATAGATTAATTCCGAAAGTTCGACGTCAAAACGAACGCCAAACAAAACATATTGCTCTTCATCGGTGTCACTGGGGAAACATTGAACAACAGTTATCTTAATAATAGTTTATTAATTAAATTTAGGGGCTATTGGGGTTAAACAGTACTGTACGCTGCATGGAGAGCTACATTTTTTCTATTAATTACTATCAATTATGATAAACTAGAACACCTATGTTTGTTCAATAGAGTTGAAATTAAAAAAAAAGGACTGATGCAATTATTCAAAAATAAATTTGGGGACGGAAAAGTTGTGCATTGGAAAGTTTTTGAGGACGGAGAATCTGAATCTGGGATTATTTTATTTTTCACCAATATTTCGCTCTCTGGAATGGCGACGAAATTTGCAATAGAAAAACCAACTATGCCCTAATAGCTATTCGAGTTTCAGTGGGACCGAAAATTAGCGATCTTCATTGAAATTTGTGTTGGTAAAGAAGCGATCGTAATTTTTTCTAAATAATAATGTTTTACTTTTTCTATGCTCAAGGTCATACGGCAAAGTTGAAATTTGGCTATGAGCCCTATCCGCCTATCCCCTAAAGTTGTTGATAGCCCATTTCGTTTAATTTTAAATATTTTTTTTATAAAATTTTGTGACCATTTTCAATAAACAATAAGATCTACAATCGATTTTTTAGTACAGTTTGATAGAGGAAGGTCCAAAGTATATACAGTCATAATTTCGAATCTTTACGTGTATAAATAAGACAAATGCAAGTTTTTAAAAAAATACTATCAAATTATGAGTCGTTTTTCAAAGCCGTAAATTGGATTTTGAGGTAAATTTTTAAAAGTATTATAATGTATCGACAAAATCTAAGTTCGATCGATATTTTGCGCCAGCTATATCCAAAGCATAGTGAAATAGGCCATGTAAAAATTTTCATTTTTACTGTTTTCGTCTCATTTACAGGGTCCGCGAGATATGTGAAACAATGTCATTGTAGATTGCTATTTATAATGCAAACTTTTGCAATTATCAAAATTTGCCCTGATTTTGAAGTTCGGAGAGACGTGAAAGACACTTTATACAGGGTGCATGCACAATAAGATTACGAAATACAAGAAGGACAAGAAGCGGCTTTTTTGAAATACAAAGCTGCGTAGCATCGATATTGCGAAAGCAACCGTTAAAATCGCCGGTATTACCAAACTGTGGCCCGTTTCAGCAAACGTCCTGATCACCAACGAGATCCTCTTCGACACCGAGCCGAAAGACAGTGAAGTTTTCCTCCACGTGCAGCGCTACACCATGAGGGTTCACCCGACGAGGGCTAATTTCAACTTCGAGAACCTCTTCGGCGGCAACAAGATGCTCGGCGACAACATCAACGACCTGCTCAACCGCGAATGGGAAGTCATTTTAGCGGACATCAAGGGCGGCTACGAGCTCTACTACTCGACCCTTTTCCAGGACTGGGCCGGAAAAATTTTCGATCGCACGCCGATCGATCAGCTGTTTCTCCAGCGATGACGTCATCGAGTTGTAAATTTGTATTGTTAATAAATATTTAGCGCGGGAACAAGATTTATTTCGAACGATGACGCGGAAAATAACCTGTCGCCTGTTCTTGCGTTTCCGACCGTCGTATTTAAGGCCGACGCGATAAGAATTTGAAGTCCGAGGCTCCGCAAATGCGATTTAAACGACACTCGACCAGCTTTCGAATATTTTTCGCGAAAACTTTTGGTTTGAGACACGTACATAGTTCTCAGAGATCGCGCCGAATTTTGGAGCGAAATGGTATTTTTTTCGGTTTCCCTCGTTGTCGCGTTGATGGTAAATGTGGTGAGGTCAGCGCCTTTACGTAAGTATACTCTTAGCATAAGTAAAAAAATTAATTTATATCCTTTAAACAATACGTGATTAAAATTTCGACGAATGAGTAGGCTATGGAATGTTTGACACCACGACCGCGATTTTCCACGAAAGCGCCGAAGGGCTACCAAAAATATTATCCAGCTTGTTTTTTAATTGCATATCAATAATTGAGGGGGCGATTTTTGGACCCATTTCAAAAAGAAACTTTCATTGGAATATATGTCCTAAACGTCTTAAATTTGAGGTTGTAAAGTTTTCAAAAATAAAATATATTTTTTTATATCTGTAATATCACTTTATATATTACACATGTACCATTTATCAAGAGGTATTATTTATTGTACCACTTTTTTTTTTTAAATACAACTGTGGCGAGCGTACGGAATTTCACATGTCTATTTTGGCAGACATTGATTTCTCTTAAAATAATAAAATAAATAAAAATAAATAAATAATAAAATTAATCTTACAGTCTCCAATCATTTCTAAAGAAATTTAATTTCTTGATTTTTTTCAATCCGATGTACGGTTTTGGCTTAAAACAATAAAAATCTCTTTTGGTCGTTAATATGACAGCATTCAGACAATTATTACAATTATTATATCTTACTTAAGTAATTGTTCATCTGTTTTTTTAAAATACTTCAAAAAATCGAAGTATGAATAAGAAGTACATAAATTCTGAGGTGTATTTTTGAAATTCTTATAATTATTTCTTATCAGTGTAGTAGGTTGTGTCCGTAAAAATTGTTAATTCTGTTGTCAAGGCGTTTGTTTGACATCAGTTTTTAAATTCAGCTCTTTGCATCTTATTAATTTGGTGTTTAAAATATCCGAGCATTGATATTTTAAAAAATTATGGTCGAGTTTACTAATTAAGAGTTGCCAGATATGCATTGTGTGTGGTAGCAGTGTGGTGGCAGTGCGCCAGAAGCTAGGCGATTATGTCAAGAGCGCTTTCCTAATAGAGACATACTAAATAGGCGAAGATTTTCAAATGTACACAAAAGGTTGACTTAGTTCGAGGACAAATAATCCGAGATTTTCCCTTGCGTGTTAATTTTTGTCGATGGTTTTTGGACAAAATTGCGCATTATCCGTTGTTTGACCAAGAAATACTATTTACAGATGAAACTAACTTTTTTAGAAATGCAGTTGTAGAGCTTAACTATCAAGAACTGTTTTCGGTAAATGTTTGGTCTGGAATTGTTGGAAATTACTTAATTGGACTCTTTTTCCTGCCAGAAAGGCTGAACGGCCAAAATTATCGCCGGTTTTTAGAAGAAGATTTCCCAATATTGCTAGAACTACAACTTATCCAGTTTCTATTTCCTCCTTTTTAAAAAAAAAAAATATTTTTGATTTATTAACAGAGAATTTTGTTAAAAATCATTAATAGTAGGTAGTGTTTTTTTTTTAAATAAGAATCGTTTATTATTTATCTTGGTAGGATGTTATGTTATTTCATTAAAACTGTAAAAGTGAAAAGAACAATCTTCTGATATTGGTAACTATCGGCACTAGCTGGCAACTAGAACTAGATATTTTGTTTTAGATGGATATTTTATTATTAAAAAAAATTTCTCGATTTAACCAGTGCATTGGCGACCTAATTAATCAAAATATTATTTGTTCATAGACAGTCAGCGGCACGCCATTCATATCATTAATAGAAAAATAACATTTGCATTCATTTATGAGCAGATTTGATCTCTTAATTTTTTTAATCCGTCGCACGGTTTTTACTTAAAAATAAAAACTAATTTCTCTGCACATTGTCATATTAACGATTTTATCTGACAATGCAGAGAAGAGGAAATGAAATTTATTTAGAAATGATTGGAGATTGTAAGAATAATTTTCATTTTAAGAAAAATCAGTGGCGTACCATCAATGTCTGCTAAAATAGAATGGTGAAATTCCGTACGCCCGCCACTGGTGTATTTAAAAAAAATAGGGTACACTACATAACGCCCCTTCATACATAGTTCATGGTATTACAGATAGTTCAAAATATATGAAAACTTTGAAAACTTTAGCAACTTGTATCTAAAAAGGTGAGACGTTTAGGACGTATGGTCATTTGAAGTTTTCTTTTTAAAATGGACTTAAAAATCGCACCCTCGATTATTGACATTCAATTAGATATCACCCTGTCTAGATTCTAGTTTAAAAGGACTCCTGTAAAATAAGTAAAGATTTTTAATTTCTGAACGACAAAACCGAATTTCTGACATAGTAATTCCCTTGAGACAGTCTCAGCGATACATAAGTCACACTGAGAATAAAGTGAAGTCTTGTGGAGTAGCTTGGTGGTTTGGTCAGTTTCGGTGTCGCCGGTGGGGTCCAAATTTCATCTCAACGTTTTTACTTTACTTAATTTTTATGTACAGTCTGTCCCATTTTAGTCAGGTTGTTACCGACATAGATTTTCAATGACGTACTCAGTTTTTTTATAAATAGTTTCGTCATTAGGGTCATTGGTACCTATCCATTTATCTCCAGAATTGTCCTCTCAATTGGGCTTTACTTATCTAGAATTATGCCGCATCTTGTTGAAAAAATATGGAATTTATGTTCGCCAATATATATAATATAATAGTTCTGGTATAACATGTTGCAATATTCCCATATATAACTATGGAGTCAAAAGACATTAAAAAAATAAATAAAATAGGAACCTGCCACACTGAAACCAAAACGTCCTTGTTGTTCTCGCTCAAACATTATATTTTGGTTTTCTTGATACCAGTATTTTGTTTTTTTTTTAATATACCGACGCTGCTTATGAAAGTTTCATCCCACCAAATTACCTTCCTAACAAAATGATGGTCTCGCGTAATTTGCTCGAAAAACCAATTGCAATATTCCAGTCGCTTATCTGGTTCCCCAGGAGGCTTAAGTTTATGATCATTTAATATTTTTTGTACTTTAATTTTTGGTACTTCCACATCCTGCTTGATAACCCTACATGATTTTTGTGGTTTGGCTTGCACGCTTGCTAGAATATTTGTTTCGCCTATTTCATCTGTTTTTCTACATTTCTTTGGGCGAGGCTTTGAATAGCATCCAAATTCTGAATTCGCCCTTAGCTTAAATATTGTAGCAAGATTTGGTTGTGGTCTCTCTGGAAATCTTAAAGTAAAAAAATACCTTAAGTGACATTCCGATACTCAATAAAATATAATTTTTTTACCTACATAAATACATGTCCATCGTCAGTGACATTTTCCTCGCACATATCGAAGCATTTAATTATGTCGTATTTTTCAAAGTTTTCGAAAGGCATTGTTTTAATGCCTATTCTTTAATATTTTTGATGACAAAAAGTAAGTTAAGTCTTTTACAAGAATGCCTCACTTTTTGAGCGGGATATTGACATGTACGGCTTCTTGCATACTTTTTTCTTTTATCATTGGCTAGCTATTTTTTACTATAAAAATTGCTATCAAATTGGCCTATAAAATGTAGGGTGTTCCATTAAAAAAAGCTATTTATTATTAAAAAGGCGAAGCCAATAAAATCAAAACGATTCACATAAAACTTGTCCCGCAATTTCATTGAATCTAAAAAAATAGTCAGATAATAAGTATATTGAAAAACTAGAGATATTCCAAGTAATATCTGGCGATGGTGATCATGACCTGCCTGTTTAAATTAATCTCTGCTTGTTAAACCCGACAAACTTCTTTCACAACATAGATCGAAATATGAAAAATCTTGCAACCCCTAGATGTTTTACCTTCCTTACGACGCTTTACAGCCATATTTCTAACCTATAAGGTAGAACTCACCTACATGAAGGCACTTGGCTAGTGAACTCTGCCTTCAACAAGCAAAAAAACTGAAAAATTTCTTCACTTCCCCAAGTGAAACTTATTATATATGAAGTTTTTTTAATGACTACTACCAAAATTGTTGTCAAATATTGGTTTTTATTGCTTTCAACCCTTTCTCATCTTTTAAGTATTTATAAAAAATTCATAAACAATAACTTGAACCTTTTTAAATTAAAATAAGGCAATGTGGCTATATGGCCTAAACAAGAGTACTTTTTTATGAAAAATTAAACATTCTTTCCGATTTTCATCCTGTTTCAACCATAACTCTATTTGTCTAAATAATACGATAAGAGAAACACCCTCCAGAAGCAACGAACCAATTAAGTTACTAATTTGTAATTGTCATATCAAAAAACCTAAAAAAATTCTCGATTGGTGAGAAAATTCAGCATGAAATTTAAATATTGAACGCCTTGTATCTCCCAAGCATGTTCAGCACAGTCATAATGTTTTATTATCTCGTACTTCTTTATATGAATTACCCAGTATATCTGATGTTTCGATTGACACTGTTTTTTATGAGGGACTTATGTTAGAAATTGTGACTTCAAACCAAAACCACGTGGTATATTTTTTTGCCTTTTTCTTTTACGAATATGTCCTTTAATATTAAACACTTGGCGCTTTTTTATTTTACTTTCGTTTGATATTCGATATTATTCCGTTATTTTTAGCTAACGGATTCAGCTCTTGCAAATTGAGCGACCCCAACGTGGACGAATGCCTAGCGAAATCGATAGAAAATGGCGTCCGTCTCGTCAAATCGGGTACGTATGAGCCGAGCAGGTGTCCCATGACATGACTGTCATAGCTTGGGAATGTGTTGCTGGGGTGATTTCAAGTTAAAAATGTCAAATGAAAACATATACACGCTATTAGAACTGAGCTACAAGCATTTAAAATTTTAAGAACTATTTAAAAAGAAACAGCTTTATTGAATTAGTTGCTCCAGTATTACGTTCGGCTGTTAATATTAATTAGTAAAAAGTCCGGGTGGCTGTGAATCTTATGTACTGTGACAGTAAGCGTCAATTAATTTTGTGTGTTTATTTTCGTGTGTTAAAATACTCTTCAAGGTACGATGTTTGCTTTTTCGAATAAAGAATACGCCGACATTCAATTTGTTTATAGATTGTGTAATAGAAAGCGACGAGCGGCTGTTGATGAATATCGTCCACGATTCCCCACTCGTAGAGTGCTTTGTAGAACTGTTTTTAGCAATTTCCATCGATGCTTGAGAGAAACAGGAAAACGTTCTACATCTACTTCTGAACGTCCGGTTCAACAGGAACTTGCTGAAGAAGAGGCAATACTTAAAACGATTGATGCAAAACCTTCTACTAGCGTTTGAATATAGGTAATAGAGTTAACGTAGGCCAGATGAGAGTATGGACAACTTTACACAATTTCGGTTTGTACCCGTACCACCTCTTACATGTACAAGCTTTGAAACCTGCCGACTACGCTTCAAGACATGAATTTAGTCGCTAAAGATTGAGAAATCAAAGGATTTGTAGTCTGTAGTTTTAGTACTGAATCCTCATTCAGCCAATATTATTAAAACCAGAAATCCACATTGTTGGGCACATTAAAATCTACGACAAACTCGGGAATCCCATTTTCAAGATAGATTTTCGGTGAATACCTGGAGTGGTATTATTGATGACCGCCTCATTGATCCGTTTATAATTGAGGAACGTCTCTCGGCTATTCGTTACTAACGTTTTATTGAAAATGATGTTGCAATATTACTGGTAAGATAACGAATGTGGATTCATCACGATGGCGCACCCCCTTTGGTCGACAAGTAACAGAATTTCTCAATCAAAATTATAAAAACCGGAAGATTGGAAGAGGTTCAGCAGTTCCTTGGTCAGCAAGGTTACCTGACCTTAACCCCAAAGATTAATTTTTATGGGAAAGACTGAAAACTGAAATTATTGCGAACAGCAAACAACTGGTAGCTAGAATTATGGATGCCGCAGACACTATTCGTGTTGATTACTTCAAGAAGAGCTAGGCTATGTATAGGTACAGCAAATGGGTGGACATTTTGAACAACTATTTAATAAACCAAAATACATACAGATACAAATAATACAAAATAATACAGCTAGAATGGCGTTCCGGATACATGTTCATTTGACATTTGACAACTTGAAATCACCCCAGCAACTCATTCCAAAGCTATGACAGTTATGTCGTGGAACGCCCTGTATATTTCTAATCTGTATTCTGCCTCCAGAATGCGTTTTTATTGCATGCAGTGCATAAGATATAAATTTCAACCTCTCACGATTATAAATAATCGAAATCCCAATTTCGGTCGAAATTGGGATTTCGAGGTTACTTTTCACAAGCGGGTAAAAATTTGCATAAGGGGATTTTCGAAAATCACGAATCCTAATCCAATATTATTATTTGAATGTCGATAAGCTATTGACAATTTATCGATAAAAATTGAGGTGACATTACACCGAAACCAAAAAAATGTCCATTTTTCTATTTTGAGTTCTCAATTTTAAACGTCGATGATATTAAAGTTTTCGCTAAAATAGTTATACCAATTTTTGAGTTTTATTGTTGCGACGCTGGCTGTAACGAATTCGTTCTTGCCCAATTTAACGTAAACATCAATTTCTTTTCATTGTCTATTGCCTGAAGGGATAAAAAAGCGGCTAATTTACGCCTTGCAGGTTTGCCCGATTTGAATATTAAACCGCTAGAGCCCTACGACTTCGGTTCTCTCGTAGTGGGGGCGGGCACCGGAGCTGTCCTCTTCGAGCAGCATTACCAGGACCTCAAAGTGATCGGAGCGACTTCCCTGACCGTCACCAAAGCTCAGTAACCTGAGTCCTCGCTGTTTGCCATTTTCGTCCCTAGTAAATATCCCTTTTTAGTTTCAACCCCAAAAAGAAGGTTTTGACGTTTACTAGTGTGCACCCGAGGCTGATCCAAGAGGGAAAGTACAACGTTAACGGCAAACTGCTCATATTTCAAGTGTACGGGAAGGGCCCGTCCAAAGTACAACTAGGTAAGTGTCTACCGGGTGGGCAATTAAGGACACTCGGTCCTATCTCGAAAAGTAATTTTTTATACGCATTTTGTTCAACAGGCGCGTGAAAAAACTATATGTCCCGGAAAGTAGATTGGTAGAAGGGGATCGATCTAATCACTTGCAAGATCTCGAGATATTACTCTACTGGATTTTTTCTTCTAAGGATATTTAAAATTAAAAGATGATTTAAAATTTTAAATTAGACAAGAAATGAAAATAAAAATATAAAATATAATAAATAAATAAATATATAAATAAATAATATATAAATAAATAAATAAAAAATAAAAAGTTAATGGTAAACATTTTCAACCCCTAATAAAATAATTTTTGGACATGTTTTTTATTATTGCTTATGAAAAGCAACTTGGTATCGACATCTACTTTTTCGTCCCCCCGCATATTTTGTATTTACTGCAAAAAATGCACAAGAAAAAATTATGCACGTATGCGGGCATTTTTATTGAAATCCAATACTTGAAGAATGAATATTAATATTTAACTATTTTACGAAAAATAGTCCAATTTTTCCTAACTTTAAAACGGCGTAAATTCTAGTTATCCAGAATTTACAGCGTCCTTTCTTGGTTGCTTTAGTCTAAGTTTTTACCGCGGTTACTTTTCGAGATAAGGCCAGGGGTTATCAATCTTTCTCTAGCTCCTGTTACCCTCATTCTCGCCCCGGAAACGCTCGTATTAAAACGGCAGCGACAAATTGCCCATATCTCGGTGGATAACATCCGAAACGCTTTTTTGCGACAAAATAACGTTAAATCCGGTCCTGTCTTGCGCAGATAACCTCCAAATCCGGCATAGAATTGAACTCGAAGAAGTGGCGAGAGACGGCGACACCTACTACGACGTTAAGTCGTATCGCTTGGAGCTGCTCCCCGAGAAGGTTCACTACCACTTCGATGACCTCGTCGAGGGCAACCAGGCCCTTTCCAAGAGCATAAACGGGGTACTGAACGACGAGTGGAAAACCGTTTTCGATGATATCAAGTCCGGCTTCGAGGCAGGCTACGCGAACGTCCTGAAGGAATACTCCAAGTCATTTTTCGACAAGGTCCCGGCAAAGGAAATTTTTTTGAGTTGAAATAAATCGCTAACGCAATTTCGTTCTCTTTTTTGCGCTCTATAATTGACCCACCATTTTTATTAACCGCTTAAATTGAAATTAAGGCTGCGATTTTTCGACAATTAAGGCAGTGGCGGCGTTTCACGGCACTTAAAGTTTATTTAGTTTATTGGATCTGCTACTACCAGAAAATGATCCTTCGTCTATATTAATTAGTGGTGGTACAGATATATCGAGTGCATTCTCTTTTTCCCAGCATCATTTTATTATACTTTCTGTATGTGTTATACAACTGATCCAATTTTCTATGGTAACTGTCTGGTGAGCTACCTTCCAAACAGATATTACTGTAGTATCATCATGCCTTGCCTCACTTACAATATGTTTATTAAAAAATTGTACACTGAGCCCACAATAATTTTATTTCATTAGTTATACAATTAATAAAGAGGCACTCTCAAAACTTGATTACCCACTTCAGCAATTATTTTGTAATTTTTAGCAATTCTTAACGATTTACATTTTAGACCATTTTCTGGGTAATTGTTTTGTAGTTGAAACTACTGTAATTATCCGGTAATTGTTGCCAAAATTGCAAAAATGTAAATTTTACAGTCAGTGAAAAAAAAACTTAAAGAATTATTATTATTATCAAAAATCTTTTTTGTATTAACTTTCTATATGTGTTGCAAAAATCACATCATGTTAAATCTTTGGACTTACGCAAATTTTATTTAAAAAAGAAATATCACTATAAATGATACCTTTTTATTGGGTCTTTAAAGAAAACAAAAATATAAGACATTTAGGTATTACTAAAATAAAACATTGTTAAATTTATAATTTACTATGGTATAGTATAGTTTTGGAAAATTTTCTAATATAAAGGTTTGAAATTTATTACAATATGGCGCTATTTTCTTATCTAATTAATAACATTGAAGAAATGGGTGGTTCCTGCAATTTTTAATTTCATATTCATGTGGACGGATATATTACTACTTTTTTGAAAATAGAGTTTTACGAGAAAATCCCTGTTCCATTCCAAAAATATTAGAGCACCTGAGAAAGTGGAATTGCAATTCTGTGCCCCATAATCGTAACTGTAAAGGATAATAGATTTGTCGTTGTGACACGTGTTTGGTAAAACTTTGGTGAATAAGAAATAATTGCGACAAAACAATGCTTCTTCACTTCTCCTTCATCCTCGTAAAAAAAAGTAGTTGCCATTGTGTGAGATCAAAAAGAGTAAAATTATGAAGAATAAATTTTGTAATAAATTGCCACACTTTGGATAAAAGAACAAAAAAAAAGAACAGAACTCTTTTTTTGGGCTATGTGTCTCCTCGGACAAGTTTTTTGTTCGATATCCTACACACTGGTCCTTTTTGAGACTGAATAAAGATAAATTTTATTCCCCAAATAAAGTGAATCCAACTGGTTGTTTTCTTTTTCTACATTTTAATATATTTTTGTAAAATTTTTAATTTCTTGTTGCCAATTGTATCGCCTTTAATTGCGCTTTCTAACTTTCCATGATCCTTTTTTGGTAATGGTGTACCTATTTGTAGTTGATTTCGTCGAAAGTTATATCGGCATTGTTTAAACTTTCTGGGTCTATAAAGGCTTTTAAATTCTCAGTATTATCCAGATCTGTTATTTCGGTAACAAAATATATAAAATTTCTGGATTCCTCCTGTGTCGGTTTTTGTTGAGTCGAACTAGCTAACGTTTCGCCAATCATCCTGTTGGCTTCTTCTGAGCTTGACTGAAACTGGTCAGCTCGACTCAAAAAAAACCGGCGCAGGACGAATCCAGAAGTTTTGGTTAGTATTACAGTAGCCTGTGGAAGTTTCTGGAGCAATATTTTCTGGTAAATATTGGTAAAGTCGCTTAAAACAAAAACTTTTGACTCGGATTTTTGGAGCAGTTAATTTATCAGGTTTCGTTTGTTTGTTTTAAGTTTACAGCAAAGAATCACTAGCCTTGCCTTTACCTTTAAACTTTAGTTGGCTTAGTATTCTATAGCTGCTTGAACTCTTAGTCGTACTGAAGAACAATATTACCATTACACCTAATAACCGTAACCTACTATTCACACCGATTTTACAAAAAAAATGTCAAATTCACTAATTCATTTAGGGTGCAAATGGCGCAAATCCATTTCAGATTGAAAATTAATTAAAATTTAAAAACACTAAATAAAACAACGATATTAAATGTTTCTTACTTAATTGACTTACCTGAACTATAAGAAAACTCACCACAACAATTGATTTACTCTAAAAACATGTTTTCAAGTTAAAAATAAGTGTGGCGACAAGCAAATGAACCACGCAAAATTAAATTCTTTATTTTAAGGCACTACTAAGTAAATTAAAACAAAACTATTTGAGTTTTAATCCAAACTGCTGAAGATAGCATAAAAATCAAAATTTTTGTAAAAAATGGACATTTCTTTATGAAACTGACGATATCTGGATGCATGACATCCGCAATATCAATATATATATATATATATATATATATATATATATATATATATATATATATATATATATATATATATATATATATATATATATATATATATATATATATATATATATATATATATATGAAACTGACGATATCTGGATGCATGACATCCGCAATATCAATATATATATATATATATATATATATATATATATATATGATGACACTATATTCCGGGATATCATCCGTTCGCTCGTTGAACTCCGACTGGAATCCTGCATCCGACTGGAATCCTGCAAATCTTGCATCCGACTGGAATCCTGCAGACGTTTCGCCAAAATCTCACTTGGCATCTTCAATGCTCGCGCTCCGAAAACACTTCGAACACTCAACGAGCGAACGGATGATATCCCGGAATATAGTTTCATCATATTTTTCCATCCGTGAATCAATACGTGAGTATATATATATATATATATATATATATATATATATATATATATATATATATATATATATATATATATATATATAATCTCACTGGCATCTTCAATGCTCACGCTCCGAAAACACTTCGAACACACTCAACACGAAACGTCTGCAGGATTCCAGTCGGAGTTCAACAAGCGAACGGATGATATCCCGGAATATACTGTCATTATATATATATACGTATATATATTATATATATATATATATATATATATATATATATATATATATATATATATATATATATATATATATATATATATATATATTATATATATTGTATATATATATAATATATATATATATATATATATATATATATATATATATATATATATATATATATATATATATATATGAAACTGACGATATCTGGATGCATGACATCCGCAATATCAATATATATATATATATATATATATATATATATATATATATATATATATATATATATATATATATATATATATATATATATGATGACACTATATTCCGGGATATCATCCGTTCGCTCGTTGAACTCCGACTGGAATCCTGCATCCGACTGGAATCCTGCAAATCTTGCATCCGACTGGAATCCTGCAGACGTTTCGCCAAAATCTCACTTGGCATCTTCAATGCTCGCGCTCCGAAAACACTTCGAACACTCAACGAGCGAACGGATGATATCCCGGAATATAGTTTCATCACATTTTTCCATCCGTGAATCAATACGTGAGTATATATATATATATATATATATATATATATATATATATATATATATATATATATATATATATATATATATATATATATATATATATAGTATAAATGTCTAGAATAGTCTAAAAATTCATACATATGTTATACATTGATATTTGAACAATTTAATTTTATTCGTCTTTAAAGGAATCATCATTTTTGTACCTATTTAATATTAATCATTATATTATTCTCTAGCAAAATATTACAAGTCGGCCGCGTCTGCAGTAGAATAGAAATCCTAAAGGTCCATACACTTATCGAAAACTATTATAATTATTATAATTATTATTTTTCCAAGCCCGAGTGTTGTGTTTTTTGTCAAAACAAACAAATCTTCTCTTTTTATTGCTTGCATCCATTTTTGCCCATATGGGAATAAGAAAATTGCCGCTGTTCTATTTTTACAAATTCCCCTTACAATTCAGAACACAGCACGTATTTACCGGAATTATATTGAAGCAACATATATCCCACGCTTTATAATTATTAAATTAACACGATCTAATTTATATACTATATTATTTATTATATTTATATTATTGACGAATACAAATATTTACAAAACGTCTGGATTCCTCGTGCATCAGTTGTTGTTGAATTGAAGTTGCTGACGTTTCGCCAATCGTCCTGTTGACTTCTTCAGAGCTTAACTGCAACTGGTTCGCATTCTATTCTCCTTATTGTTTGAGGAGGGAGGGGTTAAACAGAGGGACATGAACATTGTCCCGGACGACGGATTCCCATGTTGGTGAAAGGTAAAAACCTGAATCGTAGTTAAGATTGTTTAATAGATTATAGATTCCTCTGGATTATCGGATTTTCCGTTGGCAGAAGAATTCATTATAATTTCATATCCGGTTTCGTGATATTCTCTAACAAAATATCTAGCTTCTGCATTAAAACTTTTTACAGGGCAAAACTGATAGTTTCGTAATTAACTCCTTTCATTTCATCGAACGATTAAAAAGAATTACATTAAATCCACAGCACATTCTGGTTAGCTTCAACGTAGAATCCCTCTTTTCTAAAGTTCCTATTCCTGAAACTGCATTATCACCAGTCATCGCGAATATATTTATGAGAAGAAAGCAATAATAAGCAATAACATTGGGTCATTCTGTTTACAAAAAATGTACGCACCTTAATGGATTGCCACACCATCATACGGCCCAAAAATCATCGGCTGTTAATTTGTTTACAGAGTCGCAAAACTATTTCAGCCCGAATTATTGAACTTTAGAAATATTAACCCAGAATCTTCCACAGATAATGAGTCCGAAAGTAACCCCAAACTTGCCACTGTTGACTCAAAGAACATGAAAGAGCCTTGAAGACTACGACAAATAAACTCATCGGTAGTTGTCGAATACATTACGAAACCGGACATCAAATTTTATTAGATAAAACTACAATTCTTGCAAAGAATTTTACAAACGAAAAATCCGAGAATCTATAGAAATATAGTGGAGGTTTCTTTGAAAAATTAATAAATACTGTTTCTTTTAATTTGTGTTTTTTTCACCAAATACCTCAATTAAAACATACAAACGAATAAACGAACACGTAACCCCTACAGCGATCGCAATTTATTCTTTTCGCGATGAGTCACCGACTGTTTAGAATCTGCGTGTCACCGTATTTTTGTAGGGGTCGTGTTGTTTCAATGACTGGAAATACTAGCATTTTGGACCATTTTCTTTTTAAACACCCATCTCCACACGTTTACCCAAAACATTTATTCCGAACAATTGCCTTAGCCCTAGTTGACAGCTGTCGATTTCGCGAGCCACAGAATACTATAGCTTTATGTCTGTATTAGAAAAACATTAGTGGAGATGACTATCGATGACAATTAAAACTTTGGGTTTGATTCTTTTTTAATATATCGAGGAGTAAACCATTTCTTCTACACCAATGGGTTCGCGTGGGTCGAACAAAAAATACAAATGTAAATAAATACCGGCAAAATTATACGGAATTAATCATTCCCGTGGCAAAAGCACAAAATGAGCAATCTCGGCGGTGCGGCTTGTTTTTTGTGCCTAATAAATTTATGTTGTGAGCTGCGTGTCGTTATTTTTCGAATACTTTTCTATGTCGCTTATTTTTTCCAGTCGGCGCTTTTACGAAATGCAAGATGGAGGACGACCAGTGCCTCGCCAAGGCGATCGAAGACGGCATCAAGCAACTACAACCCGGTAATTTTATATTGATTCGTGTTTAAAAAATAAGTTTTCCCCGCTATAGGGATGCCCGAATTCGAATTGCCCCCGCTGGATCCTTTAAAAATAGATAAATTGGTGCTGGGGAGGGGCACGGGGGCGGTGCATCTCGTCCAAAACTACAGGAACATCGAGTTGCTAGGAATGACGCAGCTGACGGTGCCCAAAGCGCAGTAAATACTTACTTCCTCACTTACGACAATTTATTCAACGTTTCTTACTTCCTCGCAGTTTCGATGCAGAGAAAAAGATCCTCACATTTACTACCGTGCACCCCAATATAACGCAGAAAGCCGAGTACTCCGCTGACGGCCAGATTTTGGTGTTGCAGGTGTACGGTCACGGACGGTCGACGATAACGTTCAGTACGACGTTTTCCGTGGTCAGTGCAGTTTAAACCATCTGTCGTTGCAGGTAACTGCCGATTAGACGTCCAGGTGCGTTTCAAAACGGTAAAGAAAAACGATGAGACTTTTTACAAGATAAGCGACTTCAGGACCCACCTGATCGAATTGGATAACCTCGCGCTCAACTTCGAGAATTTGTTCGACGGTAACAAACTCCTCGGGGACAACCTGAATAAGGTCATCAACGAGGAATGGAGGGTGCTGTTCGAAGATGTCGTGGACGAAGTCGATAAGCAGTATTCCGCCGTTGAATTGAAATACGCGCAAAAATTGTTCGACCGATTGCCAGTAAAATATATTTTTGCCGATTAAACCGCTTCGAGTGTAAAACGGTGACGCTCGGTTTTATGACAATAAAAAAAATGACACAAATTAAATTGTGTGTTTATCAGTTTCGGTCGTTTGTAGATTTACTTCTAATGACCCCGACTGCTAATAGTATATTATGCAACATGTGCGGTAAACGGCATTTGACTCATGAGTTTATGTGAACGTGTTGCATACTATACTTTTTCCACGGCCGTTAGTTTTTGGGTACATTTTCGCAAAACACGAATACATTCAGTGATATGACTGTCAGAATAAACAAACGTCAAAATTCAAATCGTGGGAAATATCTCCGAAAGCATCCAATTGCTCCCATACCCGGGCGGTAAAATCTCGGAAATGTCCGAAGTGGCTCGGATTCGTGGGAAACGAAACTGACGTGGTAAAGCGGCACTTCCCGCGCGCTAGATCGGTGCGTAATTAGATATTTTACAGACGGGAGTATAAAAAGTCATTCTGCTGAATGATCAAAGGTGGAATAAAACACGAAGTCGATTTTGTTGCACTGATTAGAATACAAAAAGAGGAATAACATTCACTGAAAAAAAAAACGTTCCATGGTTCGTACTTAACATCTCTAACTAGCTCGGCCTATGAGAATTTTTAGAAGACATAGAAACAAAATTTGTTGAAGTCTTAAAGGTGCATTCATCAAAACGTTCGATAACTGGATGCGAATTTATAAATAAATGTATTATTTAACACTAACGCATATTCAAAATTCCTCAAGAATGCTTTCGTCAATATAAGGTCTGCCCGCGTAAATGATGAGGCCCCTCTTTTATTTTTTTAATCTGTGTTTACAGCACAGTGAAATTTAACATGCATGAATATAATTAAAATGTCCAATTTTTTAGATAAAATGAATATGTCAAAAGGGCAGCAGAGTGCCATTGTAAGCTCTTTTTTAATGGTGCAGGGGGGGGGGGCGGTCATGCGATACCTCTTTTTAAAGGTCTTTTCACGTTCTATTCGCAAACCAATTTTGAACACATTTGATTCGTCAGTGTTTGGAAGAACGGTCAAATGAGTACTTAAACGTAGCTAAAATTAAAAAAAAATAGTTTCATCACTATTTTATTACATATTGGAAATTAGCAACTTGTGCATCAATAAACGCGTTACTAACATTATGCAAAGTTTTTGAGGGAATTACACTGTAATAGCATTTAACCATTCCCTCTTTCCCTTTCGTTTTTCATTAAAAATTCTGCTGCTTCATATAAATTGCGATTGGATTCAGCATAACTCAAAATAACGAACTTGAAACTTCCGATAGAAAGTCGATTAAATACTAAATCCAAACGAATATGAAAAACTAATGAAGCTCGAATTATTTTTTGATTTATTTATATTTAAAAACCAGTTTAAATGGACTTGGCGCACTGACAAAAGGATTAAATATTTTGTCATTGATAAGTGAAAGTATTCACACTCTTATAATAATCATTAATATTATTTATAAGAAATTAAATTTATAATTAAAAATGCATTTATTTAATTTTTTGTCTTGCATAAACTGAGGTATCACGTAACCCCTCTTACCATTAAAAACATACTTAAAACGGGCCCTGCTGTCATTTTGACATTTTGGTTTTTTGTTTTTAGGTCAAAAATTAGACATTTAAATTATATATGCTGATTGCGGATTGTTCCTAGTATAGGTTATTTCAACAACTTTTGATTGCCGATTCCCTCCAAAACCCGCATGGAGAATCCCAAAAAAACACAAAAGCCACCAAAAGACCAACCAACCTCCTAACCTACTATCATGAAAAATCTCTAGTTGCCTTCCCTCTGGCGTTACACCGTAAAACTAATAAAAATAATTCAATACAAATTTAAACGTTAGATGGCGCTATTCAAAAATTAGTTTAAAATTGATACTACATCATCATACAAAATTAAATTAGATGGTGTCCACTAGGGAGCTCCAAAAAAAAAATTATTTCATTTTTTAGCTTTTATCCTCTCAAATGTAAGCCCTGTAGCTCAACTCTAAAGGGTCGCTATTTTTATTTCAGTTTCAGATTTAATTAACATGGGAAAAATTCTTTTTTACGTATAATGTTCGCGATTTTTTCCAAAAAAACAATTTATATTGTTAATGTTGAGTCTTAAAGCTTTCCAAAGCCGTATAACAAAGTATGATTATCATTAAAAGAAGATTAATTACAGCCATTTAAAAATTACTAATTTTTGAACTTTTCATAAATAGCTTCTAATATTGTTTTATCTACATAATTTCTCAAAATTTTTATCCTAATTAATTATAGTCAGTGTTTTATTTGTATGGATTTCAAATTTACGTACGTAGTGTAGGGGCAGCACTAATTATATTAGATCATACGGTACAGTTGTCAAATTATCACATATATTAAGAAATTATTGTTTTGTCATTCTTTGAAGCTCTCAGTAATTTCAATTACAAAATACTATGTCGATTTCTATACTATGTCGAGCTTCTGTTAATGAACGTGCTGAATTATGATTAGATATATCAAACAAATTCTCAAGGCGATTTTTAAATGTATGCTCCGTAATTTTTTGTTTCTGAGTTTTCTTTTTTTTATTTTTTTTTCAAAAGTTTTAGTAATAGCGTTATATGGTTGACAGACGGGAATACCAGTAGGTTTCTAAACTTTCATAACATCACGAATCACTTCATCAATACACTGTCGAATTGTGAGGTTAGAATCTGTATGCTTGTAGAAAAGTAATTGTAAAACTTTTCTTATACTCTCTAATTTTCGTTTACTTAATTTTTTACATGAAAAACCAACCAAATAAATTTTCTTTTCAGCTATTTTACTGATAATGATTGAAATTACTCAGAGCGTTAAATATATGTGTTGCACTGATAATTTATATATATATATATATATATATATATATATATATATATATATATATATATATATATATATATATATATATAAGAGCTGCCACCTACACTACGTACTGACAACCATTTTAAAATTTGAAATCCATAGAAATAAAACACTGACTATTAGTTAGAATAAAAATTTTGAGAAATTATGTAGACAAAAAATTATTAGAAGCTATTTCTGAAAAGTTCAAAATTTAGTAATTTTTAAATGGCTGTAATTAATCTTCTTTTAATAATAATCATACTTTGTTATACGGTTTTGGAAAGCTTAAAGACTTAACTTTAACAATATAAATTGGTTTTTTTGTAAAAAATCGCGAACATTGTACGTAAATTTAATTTTTGTAAGAAAAGAATTTTTAATTATATGTCAATTAAATCTGAAACTAAAATCAAAATAGCGACCCCTTAGAGCTAACCTACACGGCTCATCTTTGGTGAGGATTTTTTTTTTAAATCAAAGAGAAACATTTGAGAAGGTAAAGCTAAAAAAAAATTTCAAGCACTCTAGTGTCCACACAGATCCAATTTAGCGATTCTACTTAGTCGCAGCAATTACACTTATTGCGCACTTTCCGTGCTGTCCCCCAGAGTATTCTTCATAGGTAGTTTGAAATCACGACTCGCTTGACGATTCTCTGAGGGCTTCTTTCTTTGTAAGCGCAAGTTCGGCTTATCACTGTAAGAGGTTGAATTATCTAGGATAATTTCTGGTGCAATGACATCGTTGGTCCAATCAATGAGATTAGTTCACCACTCGAACTTAAGCTGTCCCGCTCAAGATTGCTGTCTTCGTCTTCAGAAAAAGAGAAAATAAAATCTGGAAACTGACGACAAAAGTGACGTAATTGATAGCTACCCGATGGTTTTTGAAGGCTTAGGGGTGTTGTGATTACTTGTCATTAATCCACTGCAAGAAGAGAAGAGGAAACGGTGTAGAATAGAACCTAACCTAACATGAGAGAGAGTGTTAATTTAAAATAAGTGTATTCATTATTAATAAAGTTATTTTAGTTTAATACATCCGTGTGTTAATAAATTCACAACAGGTTATGGGCCCAGAACCACGCAAGACGTTGGCTGGCCGAAGGTAGATGGAGAAAATTTGAAATTTTTTTTGGACACGTGTATTAAACTTGTAACGGCAAAATGAATACGTCGTCGGTGGTATTTCCACAATTAAATGGACAGAATTATAAAAACTGGAGGTTTAGAGTTAAAGCATTTCTGGAGGAGAAACAGATTGAAGATACGTTGGAGAAAGAAGTATCAAATTTTGCTGAGGAAAAAGAGAAGACAGATTTTAATAATAAGAGATGAAGAAAATTACAACAAAGAGACAGAAGCAGACGAAAATGAAGTAGGTAGAATAAATGAATCAGAAGATGATAATGATGGAATAGAGTCAGAAAGTTTAAATGATAAAGACAGAAATGTAACAAAAACTGAGACATCAAGACATGGAAGAAAGATAAACACACCAAAACATCTTAGTGAGTATGAAATTTACTCAGCATATTGTTTGCTAACATCACAGAATGATCCAAAGAATTACGATGAAGCGATAAAAACAGTTGAATGGAAGGAAGCTATAAAAAAGGAATTACACTCGCATGAAAAAATGCAAACCTGGACTGAAGTGCAATTACCAGAAGGTAAAACACTGATACAGACAAAATGGGTATTTCGAACAAAAGACGATGGCATAAAAAAGGCTAGAATAGTGGCTAGAGGTTTCGAAATTAAGGAGAAGCATCTTTATGAACCAGTTTACTCTCCTGTAGCATGTATGGCAACAATAAGAGTTTTATTCTCCATAGCATTACAGAAAGATTGGAAAATAAAACAGTTAGATATTCCTACAGCTTTCTTAAATGGAAAATTAGAAACTGAGGTTTATGTATATCCACCTGAAGGTCTTCAAACAAAATCAACAGTTTTAAGATTAAATCGAGCTTTATATGGTCTCAAAGAGTCTCCAAAAATTTGGAATGAAACTTTTAATAATTTTGCTATTGAAAACAATTTTCAAAGATCAAGACATAATTGCTGCTTGTACTGTGGTAAAAATAACTGGATATTATTATATGTAGACAACATGTTAGTAGTGGGAAAGAATGAAAACATTGATGAAACAGTATTTTTACTAAAGAAACATTT